ATGCTAATGCTTTCAGTTTTTTACTGTTAGCTATTTAGCCAACGTTGTCACACATTCCAATCTTCATTAAAGTTTGATATATATAGCGTGTTGGTGCATCAAATACACGAAATCAGGCGAAAAATGAATATAGGAACTATATCCAAATCTGTACCGATTTTAATATAATCTTACAAATTTATTTCCAGATTTCATTAAAATAGGAGAAATATAACGTGTTTTGTGTATCAAATACATGAACCGAAAATATATATGTGAGCTATATATCCAAATCTGAAACGATTTCAGTATAATTTGGCAAATAAATTTTAAGAACGAATTCCATCACACATTCCTAATTTCATCAATATAATATAATTTGACAAACAATTTTTTTAGCTAAAAAGTTTTTAGACAAATTCTATCACACATTCCAAATCTCATTGAAATATGGCGTACACAGCGTATATAACGCATCAAATACATAAAATCTGAGTTACTTCCGATTCTGATGCTAATCTCTAGTTCGAAGTGGAATTTAAAAACTTTTATATAGCCTACGTTACTTTCAGGCAATGTTGTAGTATACATGGAAATTTTCTGGAAAATCTGTTCATCGGTTTTCGAGTCCATAAATTACAAACAAAGATACAAACATTTTCCTCTTTTATAAATATAGCTCAATAAATAAACTGAACTTCATATATCAAGCAAAATAAAAAACAAGTAAAATAGTATCAGTCGGGTTTGCCTACAGATGTATATCCCCAACCATGTTTTTATTATGCACACTGTTGACCCTTTATGGGGGAGGTTCCGAAGCAGTTGGCCAATATTGTCCAATTCGTATCTGACCTTAGTCAGATATTAATATATTTGGACTTTATGGTCTACTTCCTATACCTTACATTTGCAAATGTTTGGAAAATGTGGAAACATGCGTGAGTTACCAAATATAGTAGACCGAAGTAATACAGATATTGGTATGAGCAAAATTTAAAGGAAACCGAACATTGATATTTAATTTTATACAAAATCATAAATTCAGATAAATTACATATTCATATCATATTTCTGGTATAATTTGGCAACTACATATTCATATCATATGTAGATATATCAAGTTGTGCAAGTTATCACACATGTAAGTATTGGAAATTGTGACCTTTTGTGGGTGTGGTTCCAAAAAGGGGTTGGCAGATATCAATAATTTTCACAACAGATTACGTTACCAAAATATTTGGAGGTTTAAAAGTGGAAGAAATTGGATGCCTTTTCCGCGTTTTATGAACGTCTTATTTTACAAAGTTTAGAACCCTTTGCGGAGGAAGTACCAGATGGAATGCGCCGATATATTCCATTTTCAGAGCAGATCTTGTATTAGTAAAAATAATGGCATGTATGAAATTTATAGCGTTTTGGTTATTCATAATGTCGACTCTTTGTGGGGGAGGTACCAGAAGAAATGGTCCGATCTATACCATCTTCATACAAGACCTTGTGTTGATAGAAATATTGAGATAAGTCCGATATTAAAAAATTTGACCCCTTTGGGGAAAGTACCAGAAGGAGTGGACCGATATATTCCATCTTCACAGCAAGTTTTGTGTTAGCTGGAACAGTGGGATGTGTGAAATATGAAGAGAACCTGATGCTTATTTCGGATTTTATGACCTTCTGTGTTATTCAAAACTTTGACCCATTTTGGGGATGTACTTGACGGAGTGGACCGATATTGTCCATTTTCGTATTTGACCTAGCAATGTTGAAAATATTAGGATTCACAAAGTTGAGGCAAAATCTGATTATCCTTTCTCTTAATGTGCAGTTTTTTATTTTATTTATTTTTTTTTTTAAATTTCGACCTTTTGTGGGATATGTACGAGAAGAAGTGGAACGATATATCTCATCTTCACACCAGACTTTGGGTTAACAAAAATATTGGGGTTTGTGATATTTGAAGACAATCAGACCCTTACACCACACTTAACAAGCGTTATAGTTTTTTAAAATGTTGACCTTTTGTGGGGGAGGTACTTGATGGAGTTGGCCGATATTGTCCATTTTCGCACATGACCTAGCACTGATGCAAATATTAGGATTTGTAAAATTGCCAGCCAGACAGACAGACGAACAGACATCGCTAGATCGACACCAAATGTCCCGAAAATTTCTCAGTGATCCAATATTAGTATGTTCATCCTTTTCAAACAATTATAGAACGCAATTGCACAACCACCAACATATATCAGCACCAGATACCAATAGAGACATCAATATAAAATTTCGGGATTCCAGCCCTATACATTCAATTGATACCGAATTAACATTAAGTACTTTTTGTACAAATATAAGACGCATTTCCAAACCACGGCCAAATTTCAAACACCACTGGTAATATAAATATCAATCCCTTCATCCAATATCAAATTTAGTACCACTTAGTACTTTTCGAACAAACATACTACACATTTATACATACTTTTCGAAACATAGAGTATACATTTCCAAAATCATCTCCATATCTTTATAATTATATCACATTTCAGGATTTCAGCTTTATTCCTTCACCCCATACCAAATTTAGAACTTTTCGTACAATTATAGTACACATTTCCGAAATCACTTCTATATGTCCAGGCAGCTTATGGACAGCGACTCTAATACCAATTAAGATATCAAGCATTATATTTTCACCCAATACCAAATTGTACCAAATATAGTACCATTTAGTACTTTTCGTAAGATTATAGTACACATTTCCGAAACCACCTCTTTATCACAAACCTTCCACCAACAGAGATGCTAATACAAAAATTCAGCTTCATCCGTTTACCTTGGTACCAAATTTAGTACATTTTACACACCTAGTACATTTCCAAAACTACCTTCAAATGTCAAACTTACTTTCCAATCTTCTTTCTCATACCAAATTTTCTTTTTAGCTCCCTCCATTCACATAGTACCAAATGGTACCAATTTAGACGTTTAGTAACATTTCAGAACTTTTCCAAGCCTTAATGTTCGAATTTCAAAAAAAAAAAAAAAAAAACACTTTGACACATCTATCCTGCACTTCATTAGTGACAGTGATATTTAAAATTCTACCTCATTTCGTTTTACCAATGCAAACTATGACTGACCACAACGTACAGTCTTTACAGGTGAAGCGTTTTTATACCCCATTCTATGGAGGGCATATTAACTTTGTCATTCCGTTTGTAACTCCTAGAAATAGGGTGAGATGAAAAAACTGCAACCAACTTCAGACTGTTGTCATCTCCAAGGCACTCGTCCGACTGCTGTTAAAATTATTCCAGTGACAGCTCATTATATTGTTTACAAGCGTACAAAAGTATTTTAGTGAGAATTGTCCCGAAATAAAGTTATTCGTGATGGGATTCAAGGGTGATAGTGTGATTTCTTTATATTTGGTTTAACAACCACAAGTGGCTGTCGCTTGAGCACTCCAGCATTTAAATATGAATAAATCAGCAGAAATTCAAAAAAAAAATAGAATCAAAAGAGCTAAAGAGTTGCTTCGCTTGGCCGAATGTGGTGAACTGCCCATTTTGTTTTTCTCCGATGAGAAACCATTCGTTGTCCAGAAGTTTGTAAACAAAAAAAAAAATGGTTACAAAACGAGGTTCCTCGCTTCATTTCCAGCACACAATGGCCACCAAAATCTCCGGATACTAATCCGATGGAGTATTGTGTCTGGAGTATTTTTGAAAGCAAGGTTTGTACTAAAAAATACTAAAGTATCGATCACCTCAAGCAAGCGCTTTGCTGGGAATGGGCCAAAATACCGCAGATCAACATTCGGGCAGCGTGTTACGGTTTCATTGGCCGTTTGAAGGCCATAATTCGTGTCAAAGGAGACCAATTCGAACAAACCTAAACTTATTTAAACATTTGATGCTATTTCCGACATTTTTTCTTTCATTTAATAAAATGTAAAAATTATGGCGTTTGACTTTGTTGCAGCTTTTTATCTCACCTTATTCATGATCAGCGTAAAATTCTAAGCAGAATTAGCGATGTCCGCCTGGCTGTGTGTCTCTCTGATTTAGATGATTTTAGCGACAATATTAACCGGATTTGTTTCAAATTTAATAGTTGAAGTTCGTAATGGGTACTACAATGTATGACAAAAAAGTGTCTATGCGGTCCACGTCGTATAGCTCCCACATACCTCCGAATATTCGGTATTTTGAAGATTGTAGCTACATTTTTTACCGGAATTCTTTCAAAAAATCGCGTATGCAGGTTCTTGTCTACGTAAAGCCCCCATATAACGATACCTTTCTATATTCGGGATTTTTGATGATTTTATCGGTATTATTCACCAGAATTGTTTCAGATTTTGTAAAAAAACTTTGAATACCAACCCCAGCATTTGGAACGAATTTGGCAATTCTGAAAAACAATAAAATCCGTTGAAAATTCTGTTAAAACTCTTAAAAATAACGAATGTAGCTGTTATTTTAGGGTCTATACGACGACATGGACCTGCATAGGTAACTTTTGTCATAAGCCATTACAATATTCAAATGCAAAACTAAAAAAAAATCGGTGAATAATGTCGCTAAAATCATGAAAATACCGAATATCGGAAGGTGCCGTTATATGGGGGCTATACGAAGACGTAGACCTGCACAGACAATTTTCTGTCTCAGGCTGTAGTATCCATTACGAACTTCAAATACCAAATTTGAAACAATTCCGGTAAATAATGTAGCTAAAATCATCGAAATGCCGAATATCGGGAGGTACCTTTATTTGGGGGCTATACCAAAACGTAGATTTTTTACGGATTTTTTTTTTTTAAATTTTTGAAGTTCCTTCAAAAAGGTAGCTACTCTTTATTTTTTACTTCCTCAAAATGTATAAAAGTTCCAATCCCCACAGACTTCTTTCCCTAACAAATCTCTCACGTATAGGTACTTTTCTTCAGCAATAAAACATTTCATTGCTCCTTGTTGGCCGAGTTTTTAACCACATTTCACTTTAATACTCACCACCGGTTCATTGTCCCTCGAACATTTCAATTTCTGGATGTATGGATAGAATGCTTGCGGAACATTTCCCTGGTACCTTTCATGCAATCTCTTCACAGAGCTGCACTGATTGAAAGGAACACAAATTCCGGGCGAATTATTTGGCATGCGGCATAATTCTTCTGTAAATTTAATATTTGTAAATTTTCGCACACAAAACTTTCTTTGTCACTTACGGGTTTTCACCGAACTTATTGTTACAGCAACAATAACAACAACAACGACGACACTGCAATAAACCAGATTTATTAAAACATTCATGACTTTGGCCGTGAATTATTTGTTGTTTGTTGATCAATGTTGAGTGGTTAATGTTCACCGGTAGACTGTGCCGCTTGCGAACAGGTGGTTTTGTTTATAAGCGAGTAGTGATGGGGCAAATCTCTCACTTTACAAATTGTTTGCATTAATCTCCGCACACAAACACATCTTTCTCCCTTAGCCAAAACCGGCACTGCTAACTTGTCTTGCATTTTATTCAAATCGAACTGGTATTCTTTCTTCTCAAGCAGATGAATGAAAATTAAGATGAAGTGGGAGTGAGATTGGTGTGATAGAAAATGTTCAATGTCGTTGGCCCATTGCTATTAATACTTCTTGATTAAAAGTTACATCAATCCTATTTAGAATCCTAATTTGTTTTGTCAAAACGGTTACTCTTTAGGTTTCACATGAAGTTGTGCGGTGCGTTTACCACAGCTTGTGACTCACTTTTTTATTTCAAAATATATCAGAGTAGCGGTCATATATCTTCCAGATTTATTTTATATTTTCCAGAAAAAAAGTTATTGGTGATGAAATTCAAGCGTGATAGTGTGATTTCTTTATAATTGGCTGGAAAACCACAAGTGGCTGTCGTTAGAACACTGGTAACGTAGCCCGACATCAAGGAAGTGGACGGAAGAGAACAGCAACATCAGCAGAAATGGTTCGAAAAGTAAAGAAGCGACTTGATTGAAACCCTCGTCGCAGTGGCCGAAAGATGGCTAGTGAGCTGAACATATCGCAATATTCCATGCCATTGAAATTCTAAAAAGTGCAAGAACTTACAATGCCACAGAAGGAAAATAGACCCAAACCAGTAAAGAAAGTCTTAAAGTCGGGCGGGGCCGACTTTATGATACCCTACACCACTTTGCTAATTTACTAGAGCTCCGCATAATAATTAAAAGTTTTTATGGGAGAATTCAATCATACACGCTATGATTATAATTATAATTTAAAGTTCAAAGGACTAAATATGCCCAAGCATTTGTATCTTTTAAATTCGGACACAATCAATTTGAAATCGGATAAAGATATATATGGGAGCTATATCCAAATCGGAACCGATCTCTATAAAATTTGGCAAAGATATTTCTGAGCTGTATTTAATATATTTCCCTTAATATCGTTGTTACGGAGTGCATATTACGGCTGTGGGTAACAAATATGACAAATCGGATGAACAGTATATATGGGAGCTATAGCTATATCTGAACCGATCTTCACCAAATTTGACATACTAGCTTCTAGACTCAATTCGGTCGTAAGTGGCAAATTTCATCCAATTTGTGCAAATATTAGACGTTTGGTGTACAATCCAAGGTAAATCGGACGAAGTTATATATGGGTGCTATATCCAAATCTGAACCGATCTCTATAAAATTTAGCAAATGTATTTCTGAGCTGTATTTGATATATTTCCCCAAATATTGTTGTTACAGAGTGCATATTACGGCTGCGGAGGACAAAAATAACAAATCGGATGAACAATATATATATGGGAGCTATAGCTATATCTCAACCGATTTCGATCAAATTTGGCATACATATTTTGAGGTCCAATCTGATTGTACGTGCAAAATTCCATTTTATTCGGACTGATATTACACGTTTGGTGCAGAATAAAAGGCAAATCGGATGAAGATAGATATGGGAGCTATATCTAAATTTTGACCGATTATCTCCAATTTCAATAGGGTTCGTCCTTGGGCCAAACAAATGATTTGTGCAAAATTTCATCAGGATAGGGCAAAAAATGCGAACTGTACTCTGTTTACAAAAATACATGGACAGACGGACGGACGGACATGCATAAATCCACTCAGAATGTGATTCTATGCAGATCATCAAAAGGAACTATGGGTCTATCTCGTTTCCTTTTGCCTGTTACAAACAAATGCACTAAGACATAATACCCTGACCACCTTGTGATGTAGGGTATAAAGAGCTAAAGACTTGTATCGTTTGGCCGAAAGTGGTGAAGTGCCGAATTTGGTTTTCTCCGATGAGAAAACATTCCTTGTCCAGCATTTTGTAAACAACCAAAATGATCGTGTTTACTTGCCGAAGAGGCCAGCTGAAAATGTGCTCCTTCGGTTGGCCACCAGAACTCAAGCGCCGGCCATGTTTATGGTGTGGGCCACCATAACAGCCGATTGTCGGTCTCCGCTCGTATTAATCGACCGTGGCATCAGAATAAATGCCGAATATTATCGCAAAAATATTCTGGAGGGTGTATTAAAGCCTCTGGCACGCATACATTTTGGCCGCAGACCTTGGACATTCCAAAAGGACTCAGCACGCGTCACCCAAGAATGGTTACAAAATTAGGTTCCTCGCTTCATTTCCAGCACACAATGGCCACGAAAATCTCCGGATACCAATCCGTTGGACTATTGTGTCGGGAGTATTTTGGAAAGCAATGGCAATAAAAAATACCAAAGTATCGATCACCTCAAGCAGACGTCTCGTCGGGAATGGACCTAAATTCCACAGAGCAACGTTCGGGTAGAGCAAAATACCGCAGAGTAACATTCATTGGCCGTCTGAAGGCCATAGTTCGTGCCAAAGGTGACCAATTCGAACAAATGTAAAGTTATTCTAAAATTTGATGCTATTTCCGACATTTTTTGCCTTCATTCAATAAATTTGAAAAAAATTTGAATATTATGGCGTTTGACTTTGTTGCATTTTTTTATCTCACCCTGTATAGCTACGTTGGAAAAGATCAGAATCAAATGTTATCAAAATCCAATTAAACTATTATTCCATATAGATTAATTGGTTCCTACGAAGATCCTGAATATGCCAGGTCTTGCAATCCCTCTAAAGTTTAGAGGGATACGATTTAGAGAGGGAGAGAGAGAATTCTTCACTGGTAAAATTAAAAACAAAAATACCCTATGACTTTTATTTATTTTAAAACAAATTTATTTTTTTAATAACTATTGCATACATATATTTAAATCTAAAATTTACTACACTCCCCCCTTTTTAATTTACAATGTTATTTGTGATCCATGGCATATAATAGCTGACATGGGTATAGGCACCAGGTAACGTCGAAGTCAGCTTACACGCATTCCTACCAATTGCCACCACCCCATACTGGATGAAACGCCTGCGGTTATTGTATGGAGCAAATTGTATCAGCGGTCCACCACTGTCACCGCGACATGTATCGCGTCCAAGCTCTTCGTCTCCAGCACACAAGTATCGAAATTTACTGGCATCAATCGAATAGGCTTCGCTGCATTTATTGATGGGGAGTTGTTTTATTTGCGCCTTAAGTAAAACATCCGAGGCATGGCCTAGAGGGGGAAATGGTATTTTTTTCAAAATTGAGAGAACAAATATTTTGAGAATGTTATTACATACCGTCTTCCATGTAGCCCCAACCAGCAATTAGGAAATCATCATCGGTCTGAGTCCACACAATATTGGAATAAATTGGCAGGCAAATGGGTTCAATGTGTTCTGGAGGGAATAAAAAATATTAAAATTGTTAATTTCATACAAATGCAATGGAAAGGGATAGAGAGAGAGAGAGAGAAATAGAGAAAATACAACGAAGTTAAAGGACTTCAACTCTTGCTCTGTCACAGTACCTGTAAGAATACTATAAAGGCCCAAGTATTGGTTCCGAATGAATGGACCAATGTTGACCACTTCGTGTCGGACCTAGATAAATATAATATGAATATTGCGACCTACCAGGTTTGGACTATATCAACTACTTCCTTCACTTTATATGACAGATGTGATAATTTTTAGATAATATTATTAGATTATTTAATATGTCCGTGAGGTACCAGATTTAGTCGGCCGAAGTATTAAATGTTTATATTCATGTACAGATAAGAAGTAAAAAAGTCAAGTCATACATATTTATACCCTCAGCTAATGTTCGATTATTTAGGTATATTTTGAATTCTGTTATCATTATTCAAATTTTGAATAATTTTCTATGTAGATTGGTAATTTTCTATGTAGCCCGAAGGAACGGGCTAATTTTGTCCATTTCGTATCGGGGCTAAATGAATATAATATAAATATTGCGACCTTCCAGGTTTAGACTATATCGAGTATTTTCATTTTATATGAGATACGTGATACTTTTTAGAAAATTTTGAAATGTGCCGGAGGTACAAGACCTTTTCTCTGTTCCACAACATGCAAGAATTTTTCAATTTTTTCGATTAAAAATTGTTCTTGCAGTTGTGGAACAGACCAATAGTTAATCGAAGTATTCCATTTTCACATTTCATCTAATACAGATAAAAATATTGGCATGGGCAAAATGACAAGAAAATCGAACATTTATATCCAATTTTATGCGAGATCATAAATTCCACATTCATATAAGGTTTCTGGTTGAGAAAAATACAGGGTAATATGTAAAAACGGCAACCAACTTCAGACTGCTCTTATTTGTAAACCACTTGTCCGACAGCTGTTAAAATTATTCCAGTGGCAGCTCATTATATTGTTTACAAGCGTACAAAAGCATTTTGGTGAGAATTTTCAAGAAAAAAAGTTATTCGTGATGTAATTTAAGCGTGATAGTGTTATTTCTTTATATTTGGCTGGAAAACCACAAGTGGCTATCGTTAGAGCACTCCAGCATTTAAATGCGAATAAATCTTTTGTGTCTCGTACCATCGCTCGTTACCGTGATACGGGTAGCGTAGCCCGACGTCAAGGAAGTGGACGGAGGAAAACAGCAACATCAGCAGAAATGGTTCGAAAAGTAAAGTAGCGACTTGATCGCAGTAGCCGAAAAATGGCTCGTGAGGTGAACATATCGCATTATTCCATTCGGCAATCATTGAAAAATGAGGTCGGGTTAAATCCATTGAAATTTCAAAATTGGCAAGAACTTACACCGCAACGGAAAGACAATAGACTCAAAAAAAAAACTAAAGAGTTGCTTAGCTTAGCCGAAAGTGGTGAACAGCCGAATTTGGTTTTCTCCGTTGTCCAGCAGTTTGTAAACAAACAAAATGATCGTGTTTACTTGCCAAAGAGTTCAGCTGAAAATGTGCACCTTCGGTTGACCACCAGAACTCAAGCGCCGA